CCAGCGCCACTTCCTGCATTTCCATCGCGGCTCTTGTTGCGCTTCTTCTTTGAGCTGCTCGACGATGACGAGGACGACGAGTTCTTATCTTTACTCTTCCACCGGATTAACATCACAAGCAAGTTGATAATATTTGACTAATATTCCTAAAAGCACTACTTGGAAAAAGCACGTCGCGTGTTGAAGTTCCACTTCTTGTGAACAATCATGTGAAGTCAGTTCATTTCCGTCACTCGCACTGCCATTTTACTGCCCATTTTCCACCCCAATGTGATGCCCAAGAGCCAGTTTACACTGTAAATATCACACGATATTGGAGATGATTTTTTGATTCTCAAATAAGCACAAACACTCGTTGAAAAATTGCCATGGGAAAAAATCGATTTAGCCGAAGAATGTTAAAAATCTCTTTGTGTGGGGGCTTTAAATCGCGAGGGCGGACTTGTTTTCCCTTCACCACCCATGAGAGACATTTACATTTTTTATTATTATTTTCCCCACCCCTCGCGCCCCATGGAATACAGACAGCGCCAGACGATGGAAGTAAATCAGGAGTTTTCTCAGGATTCTCCCAGTGTAATAAGATGAGTGCAAGGAGACGATGTTTGCCATCCCCTTTTTCTCTTCTGCCATCATTCTTCGCGCACAAAGTGTAGCATAGTTGGAAGGAAAAGTGTGAGCAGAAAGTAAGTGAATCGGGGAATAAAATTAGACTTAAATCACTTCCCGTTTTTTTTTCTATTCTTCTTGTCACATCGAGAGAGGAAGAAGATCGAAAAGGTGTAGAAGAAAGTCAATATAATAACCTCATTATTATGAGCGCGTCACACGAATTTATCAACCAACTTCAGTGGTGTGATAAAAAGTTACAAAAATCGATAAATTCATGAGATGGAGAAGATGAAAGGAGGGCATGGCAAAAAGTTATGCATGACATGGAAAATGAGTGTAATTAATTTTTTTCTCGCCATTGATCCCGCACTGTAACATTATTATTATAATAAAAATTTACTCAAGCCCCATTGAGGGTTTCTCCCGCAGCGAAGAATGCCTCATCTCATCCCCATATTGGCTCTTTCCTGTCCACCCTCCGTTCGCCCTCATTGTAAGTTCCATAAAATATGCACGAGCGAGTGCGAAGAAGACAGAGGGAAAGTCGCACCACCTCATCTTTTGACACTTTTCCCAGACTGAAACACCACAAACTCGCACAGAACACGCTTCCCCACCCCCTCTTTGCCTGCTAGCAAAACATGTGATAGCCCAAGGGATGAAAGAATCGTGGGCGACTGTGTATGTGTGTGCAATCAAAAGGGGATTATATTGAAGTGAAAGATAGGAGGAAAAATTTTTCGATGTGAAAAGCTGAAAGAGTCTTGAAAATCCATGGAAGAGATCATTTTGGGGGTATTAAGACGAGATAGTCCCACATAAAGCAGTGGAAACTTTCTTTTTCTTCCCATTTTTTTTCTTCATCTGTGCTTAATCAAACAGACACGTTTCGTATGGCAATTGTAATATATTCTGTGTTGACACAAAAACAGACGGAATCAGTGGAAATGCAGCAAAGGGAAAGCACTATAAAAGCCCAGCCCGTGTATTTTACAGCATTAATGGACAAAAGATTAATCATAAATAATAAATTATCGCGCTAAAGCTTAAGTTTTCGATGTGAATTTCATCCTGATTTATTAATACGTCCTTTTCAATACAATTTTGAGTTGAATATTGTGGAAAAATCGTAAAAGAGTCATTTAATTACTGACAAAAGGCAGGAATTCGCTCAGTAAATTAGATGAAAATTGTGTAAGCATCAATAAGCATTAAACGTTTCATGTAGAATCAATCCTTGTTAGGCATAATAATCAACTATCTAATACTCATGAATGCATTACGACACAGAATGCCTAAATGTGCTCGAGCTAAGCTAATTTGAATCATTTGCAACATCGTTATTCTGACTTTGTGCGACTCTGAGCATATGAGCAGAGCTTTATATTGAAATATCCTGCAGAGGTCACAAAGTTCAATCGAATTTCCCCTTTTGCCGTGTTATTCAAGCTCCATTTCGTACGACGCAACGCAGCAAATCAAAAGTCTGATGTTAATCCAAAGCTTTCTCGGTAAAACTCCTACACAGAAAATTCCTCTACAAATCCACAAAATGTTATTTTCCATCATTACACAAGAGATATTTCTCCGGAAAATTGCATTCTCACCGCAAAATCGCCCACGCACACCAATAGCCGTTTCGCAGAATATTTCCCACCCACAGTTAAAGCGCCAGACACGAAAGTCTCAGATTCCCAAGTGATGTTTCTCTGGGCAAGACAATTTTCCACCCACACATCATTCGCCATCTGAGCTGTGCGGATGATGGCGAAGCCGGGGCTCCGCTCGGGGCTCTTGTGCACAGAGTGTCACGGATGAAGAGCAACCCGAGCTGTGATGGTGAAGACGAACGAGGGAACAACGGTGTGTTCAATGAATAATTCCTGGCAATGTGTTCGAAATCATGCAAGAATTATGAGTTCCCCAAGTGTTCCTCCGCACATCCACTCCCCGTAATTTTTCGCAACAACATTTTCATCACCTCCAATATCGTGAAATTCTGTCTGTCCGCAAAATTTTGTGCTTTTTTTCCTCCCCACACCTATTTTTTTTTTAGGATCCTTCGGCGAGCCTCTGGAGCCAAAGCAACGCGACCGCCACTCACCATACACACCCATCAACTGTTCTCCGTCCTTTCGCGTGCAATTGCACCATCGCAGACAGGACACAAGTGCAGGTGAGCAGGAGGGGGGGCGAAAAGGATGTGTTGTGCCGCGAAGAACAAAAAAAAAGAACAGAGACACTCGAAGCACGCCTTTAGAGTGCGTCGCGAGGTTGATGCACACAGAAAGTACACAATTGCTAATTTGAAACGACACTCAATCACACTCTCATCACTTTCCGGGTATGACGGATCGCGGTGTGCCTCTCTCTGCCCACACTTCTGGCTCTGCTCGCGCGTCACCACCACACCCCATCCGCCACAGTGTCAGCCAGTGCAGCACCTTCAAGTGGATGTGCCACGGATTTCTGGTGATGAGACTGATTTTTCGTGAAAATTTTACACCGACTGAATCCTTGGCTGAGTCGCTGCCAGAGAAAAAGGAGTTCCGCCCTTTTAGACGGCGGTCGATAGAGAATGCGCGCGCACACTGCTCAAAACACACAGGGTGGCACGCATTATTAATTTGCCATCACCTTTTCTTTTCCACCCCAAAACACAACAGTTCGTGGAAGAAGAAAAATCCATTCACAACTTCAAATGCATCTCAAATGTCAATTACACAGGACTAATTCCACTGAACTCATGACAATTTTACTGCAAGTGATTTGTGCTTTTCTCTGAACTATTTGAATTGCACAATAACATGATAGTGCTTCCAGGGTTTCATTAACTCGTTTCACATTACGATTGAATTTAGTAACAATTGTCAGCGCATTATCACACTTACAGCGTTTCACGTGAAAATTCCATTGATTTCTTCGAATTCTAGTGAGCTAATTTGTGCTTCCAACAACTAATTAAGCAATTGACTTTCGATTTGAACCATTTTTCACGTAAATCTGGGTTGAAGAGACAAATTAGAAAGTTTCAATGCAATTCATGTTGAAGATATTCAACGCAAAAATGTCTCGAAATTTTAGAAAGGTAAAAATTAGTGAAAAAATTTATCATTTTGACTAAAATAATGAGGAATATTTATCTGAATATCTCATTCAAATACTGTGAATGTTGATGACACTTTGATCGCATGCGATTAATTCGCTTAAGCAGCAAATTTGGAACCAATTCCAAAGAAGAACTGCAGAGAAGTTATGCTTATAAGAGCGCTTTTTGGCTCGGCGCAGAACTCTTACTTGCCGAGACACCCTGTGAGGGTGCAGACCTAGTACAATATATGTAATTCAGGAATCATCCTGCCAATGTACTTCTTGTATTTGAGCGTCACCCATTCTTTCTGCGGACTGTTCGTCTACCTCTTGCCGTGTCTGTGTTTCGCCCTCTCGGCGGCCCTTTTCGGCACGTCATGCACACGCAAGCGAATAAAGTGTGACGATGAGAGAGAGGATGAATTCACCCCCTTAAGCCTCCTTTAATTAAGCCTAATCTCTTGTGCTCTCGCATTTTATCCCGTTTTCTCTCGCAACGCGCTTCGACGGACGCTCTGGACGAATAGAGTGAAGGCATATAAAAGAATAGTTCAAATGCGCAGAAATTGCCGCGAGAGCTTTTGCCCAGAGGCATAAACATGCCAAAGCTCCACACATTCACGGAAAACGATCAGAGGAAAACCGCCGAAGCGCAATGTGCAAAACATTTGAATGCCAATCGGCATGAATTGAGGTCAAGCTCAATTTTGAACACAGCAAAGGTGGACAAGTGGCGAATTACGAACACTTTCTTCACTCACAGCAACCCTTCTAGTCGGCGTTGTGAGTCAACGACCTCGGATAAAAATAATACAGCGCGTTTGCACACGAAAATGCCGGCAAAATGCAAACATTACGGTCTCCTTGTGCGTCTCAGCTTAAAACGCCGCATGTCTCGACTGCGAGAAATCGCGCAATGCTTGCCGAATGTGCATAGATTACGCGTAGAAAAGTCAGTCACGGAACATTAATAAGCATATTCATAATCTAAATGACTCGCGAGACAACCAATCCCAAATTTTATCGGTTTTACAATCAGGCGAAATTTATCCAATGCTTTCTATCCTTGTGAAGGAAGAGAGTTGCGAATTGAGCGAAAGCAGAAGATTCTCTTGGTAATATTCGATGAAATAATGTTATAATCAAAACGTACTTTGTAGTAGAAATTTGAATGGTTTTCAGTGAATAAATTAATTAATAACTTCAGAGAAGCATTAGAAAAATCATGAAAATATGAAGCAGAAGAAATCATCATCAAATCACAGTGAATTCAGGGGTTTAAGACAATTTCAACTCACCGACTTTCTTCTGAAGAATCCGCTGAATCTCACCGGCTTCTGAGCCGCTCTCGCTCTCGTACGGAACGCTCTGTTGTCTGGCCTCCATGAGCTGCACGGGTCTCTGGAAAAGCTTCTGCGGCCTGCTGTAGACCACCTGATCCGCACGAGGCATGCTGTGCAGCACCAGAGGCGTGCTTCTGCCGTCCAGCGGCCGCCGCTGCAGCGGATTGCCCTGCACGGACGCCGGCCGAGGCGTCTTGGGCGGAATGCCTGACACAGTGTTCCGCAGATGAAGGTAGCCGTAGGGCGAGATGTCGGCGGCGTACAGCGAGGCGGGAATGGGCCGTCGGATGGGCGCGTAAATTTGATTGCCCACCTGCAGCAAATGCCCCGGCGGCGTCTGATAGTGAGGCCTCGTGTCGACAATCTGCTCGCCCGCGAGCTGCACGGCGACAGGATTCGGCGTGCGCTGCACCTGAGGCATCGCCTGGCGATAGACAGGTGCATAGATGGGCGACTCCGGCAGACTCTCCACGCGGCGCGGCACTTGCGGCGCCACGCGGCCGCTCCGCCGCGAGTCCACCGAGGCGTACGAGACGGGCGAAATCTCCGGAGAGCCTCGCTGCTCCTTGTTCGGCGTACTATTCATGGACTTGCGGCAGAACTCCTTGACTTTGTTGAGAATCTCCTCGCGGCTCAGGTAAACCGGCTGTCGCTTGCGCATCACCACCGGCTCCTGGTCGGTCGTCATGCCGTCGAGGACACTCTGGGATCGCTCGCGTGTCGACGGCGAGCTTGGCTCCGCCGCATTTACGCACTGCCCGTCGACAATCTTGAGATTTCTGTTCCTGTACACACTGTCGATCGTGCTCCTCTGCGGCGAGTTCCTCACCAGCACCACCGGAGCGTTCTCCACGGACGACCTGCGTCCGCCGATGCGTCCGTACGTCGGACGCAGCTTCTCCGTGGACTCATAGATGTTCTCGGCGACAGGAATGGGCTTCGGTTTGGGCGTGCTGTACAGCAGATTGCGATCCGTCATGTCCTTCAGCTCCTTGATCTTCATCCACGTCGAAGAGTCCACTTGAATGGACGTGGAGACAATTGGCGACAAGTCGCTGGACATTTGGCTCTTCTGTTGCTCCTCCACTGGCGTGGAAGTGCTCTTGGGCCCTCTGAACGCCTTCTCCGGCGACGCTGTGTTGCTAATGATTCCCTGACGAGTGTTTCGCTGCGGCAACAGCGGCACAGGCTCGCCTCTGGGCAGAGAATTGGACCTATTCAGATTCCCATACATCACCTCCTCCACTTTCGGTCGCGGCTGCAGCGATTGCCTGACAGGCGTCCTTCGCAGCACCGGCGGTTTCTCCACAGTTTTCACCGCTGGCACGCGAAGACGCAATGGCTGCGCCTTCGATTTGGCCATGTCAATGTTCCTGTACATATTCTGTGCATTGAGCACTGTATTGGCGCCTGTCGAGCTGTCCACATGGTGAACAGTCTGCACCACCGGCTTCCTCGACTTGGGCGTCATGTCGATGTAGTTCCCGTGAATCTCTTTCACGCGCACTTGTTGCTTCGACGACGACGGCGCCTGATTCATGTCCACATACTCCTCAGAGGGCGTCTTCACGCCTCGACCGCCGAAAACCTTGTGGAATTCATTGTTGGCCGGCAGGGAAGTTCTGGTTGGCGTGTGCTGCTGGTTCGGCCTCTCAAGCACCACACGCTTCATAGCGCTGTCCTTCGCCGCCTCCTCAGGAGCTCTCAAAGGCTGAAAGCAAGATAAGATACATTATTATGTAAATCCTTGTGGGAGTTTGTAATTATTCCACTCATGAGTGCTAAACTGAATGAGTTCTCACCTCTTTGGGGGTGGTTTTGCCCTTCGACGAGAACAACCCTCCATTGAAGATCCTCTGCAGCATTGATCGCTTCTTCTTGCTCTCCATCTTATCAATATCCTCACAAGCGGCTACAAAACCATTAATCGCCGCCTCTTCTGCGCTTTGTCCAGTTTCTGGAGTCAGCGTGAGACCCTTCTTCTTGAGGAACTCCTTAAACTCAGCACTGTTAACAGTGTTCGTGAAGGATTTCTTACTCTCTATCGCAGGAACTTCGCTCTCTTCATTGGCATCCACATCAGTTTGCTCAGCAATATCATCGAGATCGTCTTGTGAGCCAAATTGTGCTGTCTTGAAGCGATTGTCGAACTTCTTCACATTTATTGCCACCTCTTCCGGATTGTATAGGCTATGTTCCCAATCTGTGCCCGTCTTCACTTTAATATCCGCCAAATCTGGATACTTTGAGCGATCAACGCGCGGCTTTTCCACGCCATTCGCGCGCCGCGCGGGCGTCTTGTCCTGCGTGTAGAACTTGGGCGGACTGTACTTGATGGTCAGCTCCTTGAGGCGCTCCTTGGTCGTCTTCGAGAGCTTGCGTGGAATCGGAATGGGCTTTCTGGGTGTTGGAATGCGCGTGGAATGTTCCTCTGTCTCGTCCTTCAGCCGCTCAACGACACTCGGATCGTAGGTGAAATACTTGTCGGGATTCTTAATGTACGTCCTCACGAACTTCGACTCCTTCAGCACCTCCTCCTTCGTCACGAACTCCTCATCGCGATGGCCATTCGTGTGCCTGTGATACCGCAGCGGGTGCTTGAATGGGTTCTGCTTATCGATAATTGGGTCTCCGTTGATAAACTTCTTCACACTGTCATCAACATCGTCAAACGACACGGACTTCTTGCGCGGCGGCCGCGGAATCGAGCTGCCGCCGTTGGTGAGAATCGGCCGCAATCGCTGCACCTCTTTGGACTCCTCTTCGTCAGTCGCCGCACGTGCAGCACTATCACAGTTAACGCTAATCACTCGGTCGCTCGTATCGATTGCCTCGTTGGCTTCTTCTGCGCGCTCGTGGGCTGATGAATCTGTCGCATCTGCTTCCTCCTGCACCTCGTCGGCCGACGCCTTCGTGTCACTTGAGACGTCTACACCCTCACCGATTGATGCTCCAATGCACTCGACTTCAGCGGCAGACATTTTCCACCGGAAATTATTTTTCCCTCATCGAACGCGCGCTGCTGCTCAATCACTTCCTCGCCGTGAGAAACAACGACTCGCTGATGAGTGAAGTCATCGCGCGGGGGATTTTCTGCGAAGTTCGCCTGCAAGATAAGAGAACAACCATGCATTTTTGTTTCTCAAAAGGCAGCTAAAGTCACATCAATAATAAATCTTTGTGCAGTGCGAGACACAAACTGTCTCAGTCCACATGTCTGGTGAACTCAGTATTAACTACTCCGCATGGCTCAGCACAAATTCTCCTTAAACACTGAAAACATCGCGATCGACGCTCGCTTTCAATGTGAATTGTGTAGAGAAATAAGTAAAATGTGTAAAATATTCAGCGGAAATCAATATTTGCCTCAGTCAGAAACTGATAAAATATCAATATCGCACTCCACAGCGCACAATGTACGTGAAATAAGGTGTTATCACGTAAATTCTCAGAATTGATAACACTTTACAAACATCGAAAAGGTAAATGCGCTACATTTCCTCAATTGTCGCCGCCTTTCCATGCACACAATGCCAAGTGTGGAGACAATTTGAATTCGCCAAATTGAATGAAAATACTGTCAATTTTCCGCTTCATTATTGTCGGGAAATTATTGTAGGAGACTGAAAAAAGAAATTAGTGTGTGTGATGCATCTAGCCACTCCTCGATAGCTTCTGGTGAGGTCATTTTACAGTGTCACGATGATGATGATTTCGTGTTGATCATTGCCACTGAATGAAACCTAAATATTCAGAGGGCGGTGAATTATTGCTCCTCAATTGGAAACAATTTAAGACATATTTGTCTCGATAATGTGCCATCTCAATTCCCCCTCCAAAAAACTATCACCGAATTCACTTGCATTCATACAAATTCCAGCATCTCTTCCCTCCCACGCTCAGCAATTATTCAGCTCACGATAATTGAGATTTACTGCAGAACTTCTTCTTGCATGTCAGGATGAAAGAGTGTCGCTCATGTGCGAGGTTTTTTTCTTTCTTTCTTTCTGAGAGAACATTAAATGCTGCTTCTCAGCAGACTTTCGGCTGAGCGCCTGAATTTTTAAAAATAAAACCATTGACAAAAAAGCAGTCTCATTGTCATGTTTCCGGCTTCAAATGACGATCTAATAAATAATTTGAGTGAACCACAGGATGAGCTTTTCTCATCAGCTTCGTGTCTGTTGTGCCGCTTTTTTTCTCCACTCAACAGAGATAATTGATAAAAAAAAAAGAGAGAAGGACGAAAGGTTGATGCCATTATCGACATGCTGAAGCTTACTTGCGCGCACTTCCACAAATCTCAGCTACTCAACACATTTCTCTGCTCACGAAGAACCCAGAGAGAGAAAGAGCGAGTTTGGTGGCGGAGAGAAATGAAGAAAATCACCAAATGTGACAACTTGTTGCTCTTCAGTCTCATACTCATTCACCCATGAGACACTGTCCAGAACATACCTCATCACTCACCAACTCCAGGCACAAGAACAACACACGTTTGGCCGAACAATGAGTGCAAAAAAGGACAGCAAAGTGTGTTGGCAAAGCCAGACAAAAAGTCCACTTCTTCAGGCATTAATCGGGCTAATAAAACAAGTTCCTATTATGTACTTCACGTAACCATCTTGAGTCACTCTTTGCAACTTTGTTCGCGTCATTTGAATAAAGGCGGACGATGGGATTTTCTTGAGGTTTTTCGTCTATTGCCTGACAGTGAATTCATAAACATTGTAAATGTCTGAGATTTTTGCATAATTCATAGAAAGAAACTTTCTATTTTCATATCATGAAAGAGCATTAACACTTTATATTTTGAAATATATTTTTATGAAAAAAACCACACAAAACAGCCATGAAAAATAAAAAATTCATAACAATCTTCACGCCAAAGTAGTAGACTTTTGTGGATATTGATTATCTATTAATTTTAATAAATTCTCCTAAATTTGTAGGTGAATTTCTGGTGTTAAAAAATAGTTTTGAAACATCAAATCATCATTCTATTCCTAGCAATGACTTTAGCATAATTAATTATGAACTACTTGAACTCTAAATTTAATTTCCACTGTAAAGAAAATAAAGAAAATAACAATTTATCAGATGATTATTTTCACAGTTTGCATCACAAAATTGTTGTTTATATTGCTGAGTTCTCGTATGGCCGCGCTTTACGCATGGAAAACGCACTTCCACATGTCCAAAAAGACACCGGCAGAGCGGCAAAGCGAGCAGTGGGAGATCTTAATTAAGCAATTTCTCAAATATTGTGACGATTCTGGGTCAATGAGGCAAACGCATGAGGGTAAATAATTAATTAATTGGCCAGATATGCAACAAGTTACAAAATCCAGTCCAATGCCTTCGATACGAGAAACACTGGGGCGAAAAGGAAGAGGAATGTGGGTGTTTATTTCTTTCAATGCGCGCCTCTCTTTTTTGTTAAATTCACTCCGCGCGCATTATTTTCACTTCACCCACAAGAACACAATGGAGAAATCACTTTGACTGAAGTGGTAAAGAAGCGCACACATTTCCAAATGGTCAATGAAATGCTTCCACAATGAAATTGCCCAAAGCATTTATTGAGCACCAAGGTTGTGTGCATCATTTTGGCGTTGCCATTGAATTAATGAATTTCAATTAATTCCATTTGATGACTTCTTTCGCAGTCGAAGAGACATTTCAGCTGTGGTATCAGATTTGCTCTTCTTGGCGAGCGCTTTCAGACCTTCTTTTCTGTGTATTCCTCAGATTGTCTGATTGAAATATTTACGAGACATGTGACTTTTTCACGTGCAAATCTCATTTGAATAAATATATAGAGACAGAAAAGGCACTCTTAATCCCACGTAACTAAATTGAAAAATAAGAAAAAAAAACTTTATGCCGTCTTCACACATGAATATAAAATATTTGTTTACATCAATTTCGTATCTTGTCCAATTGATTAATAAAATGTTGGCGTGACACACTCACAGAATATTTATGAGGATTTGTGCACTACCAGTAAAAGATCACACGTTTTCCTTACGATTCTCTTAATCTCCTAATAAATTACACAAATTTGGGAGAAGATTTACAACCACTACAAAATAGCACCAACAACTCTGGATCAATGTTACATAAAGTGCTTCGAAAACACTCGTGAAGCTCAGCATTTTTTCTGTGTAAAATTGATAAATATATTCAACATTTGAAATTTCTCTCTGTCATTTAAAATCGCTACAGTCGTGAGAAGAATTAATCGGTCAATTCTGAAATGCAAAAATTGATGGCAACACTTGAGAATGACATTTCCTAAACAAATGCTAAAGTTACTGTTGATGTCCAAAACATATTGGCACAATTTACGTAATATTCATCAGTTTGCTGCGTAAGTGCCACAAGTCATGCGAGCGCAACAGCCGTAAAATGGCACTAAATATGTATTCCATATGAAATCTACAATGAAAGATTGGAAGAAGACATCAAAAGTTTTGTGGCTAATTGCTTTCAGTAAATAGCGTTATCTTTATATTTTATTCATGGCTGTAAAGCTGAGATATTTTAAAAAACCAACAATACTTTTCGGAGATGTCGAAGAATTTAGTTGATTATTCTCCAATTTCAACTGATTCGAATCAAAAGCAGAAGAAAGTACACAATATGTGCATTTGTGATAAGAAGAACTATATAAAATACACTAATCTGAGCTTATAATTTTGCTTATCACTGTTCATATGTACAAATAAACACGTATGCATGAATACATAGAATTTTACATGGAGTTTTTAAAAATTAATGAACCTCACACGCTTTAGTGGACAAATTTATACCGCGACAGCTTTAATTCTACTCCATTTGTTTCAAATTTAAATACCCGCGCACTTCGGCAGCATATCAGAGCGCCAGAGGAGCTGCAAAGGGGCATTCACATTACACACCACTCCTTCTTCACTCAAGAGCATATTCACATCATATTTAAGACGAAAAGTGACTTGAATAAAATGCAAATTGAGTTTAGGCGCAAGAATGCTCTCGTGGCTGTGGTAATTTGAAAGTCAACAAGTTTGTCGCACACGTAAAATGACTTTAAAAGCATGGCAAGAACAGTCCGAGATTAATTGTGAGATTGTGCCTGATTTTTCGGTGCCGCGCTCCAATGCACATTGTATGAACGAAAAAATCCAGCATCACTCATAAATAACGGCAGTTTGGATGTGAGGGTAATTAATTTTGGAGGTAAAATGGAAAAAGAAGCCTCGTCACAACACACCAACCAAACTCATCTCGGACTGTTGTGGCATTTTTCAATATAAATAAAAACTTCCCCACTTCAATCGCACATTCTGGCTGAGACGTTGCGCAATCATATGTGATGCCCCATCGGGTTATTATCACTAAATAATTGCCTTGCCGAGTAAAAATTGTGAGATACAGAAATTGTATGACTCTCATAGCCTGGATTCGCGCAATTTTTCAATTTTTTCTTCTTCTCTTCTTCTCCAAAGTCTTGAGAGAGTGTCAGAACATTACGCAATATTGAAAATCAAGGTCGCCGGAGGTTGAATATTTGCACTATGAACAGTGGGATAACAAATTGTTGCTGGAGCCAAGGAATTACACGCGGTTTTTTTTTACTGCTCGCGCGGCTTTTTGTCAATTAAACAAATATCACGACATGTGAAATTACTTTTGAATTAGTGTGCAGAGAAGGGGAAGAAAAAAGGAGAGAACGATAAACATTTCAGAACAATAAAACTGCTCCAAAGACACAATCATCACTTCAGCCAAAATATATTTGGTCGGACAGAATTTTCCAAGGATGCAAAAACCATACAAAATCAGAGACATAAGCACACTTTTGCGTAGATTTACCTCGCGCTCTTTGGCAATTCTAGCAAACAGTAGAGCGTTGATAGTGTTACAGGAACATGCGATAAATTACACTGGTATTAATCCAAAAAAAAGTGGGTATCCAAAGAGTCTTTGGCACTGGATTTCTTCACACACTCTCTTGTCTTGCTGGCATCACACCACCCTTCAGTCAAAACACCACATCACAACCACCCCTTTCACAGACACACGAGACAGCGAGGGGAGACGGAATCGCACATCGAAACACCCTCCGACACGTCCACAGCATTTGAGCTATTCTGACCAACTGAGTAAATTACCACACAACACGAGTGTGGCAGCACAACGCTGTAGTGATGTTCGTATGGTTGAACAGTAATGAATGAGGCGCTCTGCGACTGTATGAGTTCCACTCGACTATTTTTTACGTCTAAAATGATTCCGCTCAGCAATTATACTCTATTTACACCCGTGAAGTCGCATTAAGCACCAAGTGTGACAGTGTGGATTATTGCAAAGTTCGCCACTCAAGACTACATATAGAGAAAATCATATTTTCTTTATCATCAATTCTCTTGGGGTGTAAAGTGTGAAATATTAATGCACACTTAAGCTTGGCGATTGAATTGAATAAATGGTAAATTGTAATGAAGACTGAAATTGTGTACAGAAAGACAGTCAATTAATGCTTTTCCGCTCCATTGATCAGCAATTCTGCGACAAATTAAATTCTCAAATTATTTCAAAATCAAAAATATCCAGATAACAAGCAGAAATACTCTTGAAACTTCTGCCAAAATCCAAAACCTCATTTCTCGTTGATAAAAAGTCACACCTTTCCAATTGATCTGAATCACTTTTATCATTCCGTTCGATAGCAACATCTGCGAATGCTCTACAAATAGGCACACAGCTGAAATCACATTTTCTTTTTATCACCTCTTAGCGCAATGTTGAGTGTGAAGTAAGAAATAAAGAAAAAAAACTGAAAGAGCACAAGAAACGCGCGGTTTCAGAAGACAAGCAATTTTCCAACTAATTTACTTGCTTAATTATGTGTCACGTGTGTCAAATTACTCGCGGTTGACAATGCAAAACCCACGAGGAGAAGTGATAAGACATGCAGCAAGCGAAGCTCCCACAACCACGAGTTGTGCTCCACATTTTCAATGGTAATTCACTGCTCACAGTTGCACACTGACCATATTATTTTCCTCTCCTATTAAATTTCACTTTCACTCTGAAACATTATTGCGGCTCACGCCAATTTTGTCTGCAGTGCTAAATTACATAATTTATCGAACCACATCTGAAGAATTTCGGAGGAAAAATAGAGAATGCATGGATTGAGTAAACTCTCTTTTTTTCCTCCATCGTCACACATTCACTGCATTCAATTGATGCCTTGATTCCAAACAGCCTGCCTAATGTTTATTGTATATTCTAATATCAAAATAAATATTTACCCAACCATCTTACCAAGTGGTCGTTAATTGAAATTGAACATCAGTTCATCAAAAAGACTTCTTCTTTTTTTGCTACTGAGAATCACTTGTAAATATTAGTTTACACTTATAGTTTTTTTCCTATTCCTTCAATTAATACGTGAATGGGAAGAAAGTCATCTTCACCATCAAGAGTATGGCGTGTAAAAGAGGAAGTGTGTTGACAAAGAGATGAAGAGGTGAGACAAACAAGCGTCTTATTAGATGATGAAAAAAAATCAAAGAAATTTAAAATGCGCTGAAACAAGTTACACTAATCTGTGGAATTTGTAACAACAAGAAAAAAAACACACGCGCAAAAGATGTAAAATACATATCATGCTTAATTACCTTTCATCGCATGCGTCCAATTGAATTATAATTCTTAAGTGAGCGCTTTTGCATGATCAATATTTCCTCAATTTTCATTAAGCACTCACAAAAGTTTGCAAATTTACAAAATTATATAATTTGTTTACCATGTTTAACAACACTGTGTTCTAAATAGACCAGAAAAGGGGGAAGTATGTGCATATGGACATCAAATATTTCCGAGAAACATCAAATATGAAGCCATGAGCCACAACGAGTTTGATATGAATTTATTAGTCGCACGTCCTGTGCAGAAATATGATGATAAAGCAGTAGCAAAAGGAAGTAATTGACAGGAAATATGTCTTCGTATCACATCTTCGAAGCTGCACTCTTGCATGAGACCAACAAAATGTTATTGGTATATTTTCTGGTGAATTAAATCACTTAAAACCATCCCAACCAGATGCAACCTTGTGGAAATTGAGGGCGCAGAAATGATGGAGTAACGCAGACAAACGAGATCGAAGCCTCACGAAATGAACGATGGAAGTAAATGCTCTTCATCCCTCATTCATTTCACTTTGTGCTGCATTTTAGGGGATGATGCATTTCAGGGGAAACAGATGGTTTCTCGACACGCACCCTTGTATATAGACAGACATGTTCAGAAAATATGACATGATATTTTACACACATTCACATCCAATTTCTACGCCAAACTCAATTTAGGATCATGTTTGAATACGTCGCATTTGTGGAGTCTCTTTTGGCACAGATTCAATAAGATTGAAGTCAACAGACATTGTGACCCCAGGAGATAAACTTTGATAAAGCATGCAAAAAGTGAATTTCACAGAATTCCTATTCCCACAACATTCACTCATTGGATACTGGGAAGATGATAAAAGTTTTTCGTCGATTTTTGTGTTCATCGGCCAATTGCAGTGATTCAAAACTGAATCATATTGCTAAGCCATAATCTGGAACTAATCCAAAATGAAGTCTTGCAATATGCAGTTGCAGCGAGTGAATCTCTGTCCATCATCAAACTGGATTTACCCAGTGAAGAATGGGAGGCATAATGCGTTAATTGACTTCAATTGGGGAGAGAGAAGCGCAGAAAAATTAAGAGGGAAAGTCATCTCGTTTTCCTTTCTTCGCGCACAACGACTAAATTACAATTGAAATAAGACACTGGCGTGCGAAGGAGTCTCGTGACCCCAAAATCCATCAATCTTCAGCATTAATGGGCTAACCACCATTGAATTTAACTCGGACGCAATGAACAGAGATTTCGCCCGGAGATTACAACACCACAAAACGCCACAATATACACATCCACACACACACACACACAATTGGCTCTTGAGGGGTTAACGCCTCTCATCAACACCATTTGAACGCCATTCTCGATTAGGAGAACTCTTAAAAGACCCCCCGTCATTGATTCCCTGAATTCATGAAAGAACCATCCACTCTATTAGCTTCACCACAATTTAATTTATAACGCAATTGAACAGTCCAAATGACTTTCAATGTAGATTCTGTGTAAGATTCACTTGTTGAAGTGTTCTTTATTGGACACTCTTAAAAACAATATTTTACCCAGAATGAATACATGCAATAGCTTATGATAGACTCGTCTTGGGATATTTAACAACATAGATATTATGAAAATAATCAATAGGAATGTCTTTTATTCTCACAGAAAGAATATTCAATAATCCAAGGATAAAAGAACCAACTTCCAATATTTATTACTTATAGTGTAATTTGAATAAGACGGTCCTTGATTGTGCGAAATCTTCTTAGTCCTCATAATCACTGATTTATCCTCAGATACTGCTAATCGATATTGGAAGATGTTTTTGTTTACAAACACAAATCGCCATACGAGACACATGAAATAAATTAGTATTTAAATGTGTGTTTGGGCACCGAAACACAAATGTTCATTGCATGAGACGAAGAACTTCATGAGTGAATAAAATGTTAATTCAATATCCATTCTCTCTTCAGACTCTTTGCGTACAGGATTTCACGATGTGCAGAGCACTTTGTCATGATGTGATTCTCATGCTAACCACACATTTTGCATTTACTCTTGAGCGTGAAGAATTCACAGAACACCAAAACTGTCTGTCTCAGTGTAGCGAAGATAAGAATTTCTTCCAAATATTAACAATATCAGTGACGACTTTGGCATTTTTCACATGCAAAATCATCCCTCTCTGAAGGCGTCGCAACAGTGCGAAATGTGAGTCATTTTGTGTCCATTTATGGTTGTGCCAATCGACATTTTTCACGCTTCAAGCACGAATTTGCAATTTAAGTCTGTGAAATGATTTCTTTTTCTGCCTCACATTCTGTATGTCAGAATCAAATTAATTCTCCCAGAGTCAAAGAATCACTGTCAAGTGTTTATATTTCATCGCTTGTGGCGTCGCATTCAGTGACGGAATATGCCTTCAAATGGCTGCTTCATGTGGGATATTTCCGCATTGGATTGTCCAGCATTGGCAGAAAGTTTGTATTGTCACTTGGGACTGACGCTAAACATTTGTTGAAACTCACTAAAACAGCAAAACCACCCACTCGAAACACGAGATGCAGAATTATGTGGCTTTTTGAATGTTACACCCTTTCGTATGTTTCAAAGAACACGTTCTAATTTCCCATAACACCATCTTAAGTAGGTCATTCGGTTATTTATCTGCTTTAAATTTGCATTATTCACTCTTTGAATTTATATAGAGTTAAGTATCCAGGGTTTAATTATAAATGTCATTCATTTACCCTCACAGGAAGAAAGTTAATGAGTCAACGTTAAAATAAATTGATATAATACATATCATACAGAAAATGACAGAAAATAATTAAGTAATACTCAAAAACATGAAAATAAAGTTAATTTATTTCAAATATTTTACCTAGAAATTTAATTATGCATCCAATTAATTATTTCTGATTTTTCCCCGCTCAAATAATGAATTCGTATTTAAATTTTTGGCTTTTTTTAACAATCTATTTTAAAATGCAATAAAAAGTATTTTTGATAAACTTTTTAAGTCTTTTTGTCACATTTGCTTTATTTAACAAGAATTTCAATTTATTTTTAATGTTTTTTTGCATCATCATCAAAAATTCCCTTCCAACTCTTTTTGTATCTCGTTTCACCGCCTTCAAACTATCATTTTCACAGTGACACGACAGAATTTCATCACAATTCGAAGATGACTTACGAACACTTTTGTGACAATTCAATGTTAATTTCAATTCTTACTTCACAAATCTCGTGTAGCATTCAAATTTAATCAAAGACGCTAATTGGTTTGTTTTCCTCTCCACCCATTTCGTTCGCTCCACTTTTGAAATCTATTCGATTCCCCTTTCAATGCCTGTTTTTTTCACTCAATGCTCGCAGTGCTTCTCAGTGATCGCGCATTATAGAGTAAAAGTTGGATGTTTTCTGTGAATTGAAATTGAGCCTATAATGATTAAATTGGGCGCACTCTTTTTTCCGTGCTAAACTGAGAATCGCGCTGTGTGGAAAGACGCTAATTGAATAACGGCAAATGACGAAAGTTGCTGGCTTTTGCCTCCTTTTTTATTTCGTCTCTTCGCCGTGTGTGCAATTATGGCACGGATTTTTTCCTCCCGATCGAAATACACAGAGACGCGATATCGCGCGGACTCGCGATGATAAAAGCATTGGGTGAAACCGGTCTTGGGTGCACCTCAAAGACAGAGTATCTCAAACTCCAGAATATTGTCAACATAAACTTGTCGGTGTTCTGATAAATTGCCACTCTTGCGCAATGTGGTTAATTGCATTTTACTAGTTTTTCAAGAGTGTACTTTTTTTCACTATCGGTGAAAGAGATAAGCGCTCTTCCGATGAATTGCACTTGGGAGAACATGGGAAAAGAATCACAGATTGACTCTTACTTAGCACCCATTTCTTCACCATTTTCGCACCATTTATTGATTCTCGGCGATACACGCTTCTCAATACAAGACGAACTCAAATGCTGAATGGTCGGCGGAGGGAAGAAAAAAGAAGAGCGCAGAAGAGAATAAACTCATAAGAGGATATAGTGAAGTTCTTCACAGCACACGAAGACAGTCAATGCACTTTCGCGCCATTATTTCCTCAACGTCACAAGCACTTAAAGACTCACACTCGAAACATGCAAGCTAATGTGGAATTATATTCTCTACACCCAATATGTGGCTTCATCTGCAACTTCAGACGCTCTGTGATTTACAATTTTCAGCGCAAAGAGACAAAGTTGCTCCAAATTGTATGGAAAATGTCCGAAATATTTGCAAAAAATCAGAAAGAGCCATCAAAAACATCCCCAACAGGCAATAGAGAGCGTGTTACTCTCTTTTATACACAAGAGGATGAAACCAAAATATTCAATGAAAATTCACCGCGACAGCAGGTTTTCCCCAGCAGGAATCGCTGATAAAAGATGCAATATGAATTCATAAAAATTCCTCAAAATTTCCCAATACAAAATATATTTTTATTGAAATTTCTGTCATTTGATGGTGCATTCTTTCTATCTTCATACCTGTTCTTTTTTTCACGGCATTCAGCTGTGCAGCAGATTATGCAAATACTGTTGACAAATTCCAGGAATACGTTGAATTTCCATTGATTATTATTTCAATATACACTTATGCCAAATGATATTTTTATATGCAAATTGTGAATGGTGTAAAAAGGTACTTAAATACATCCCCAATTAGTTCGGCTTAATATATATGACCAAAAATATTGAAAAAGAATCAATTTACAAACAGATTAAACATCATCAAAGCATTGAAAGCTAGCAAAAATGAGCGAAAAACACCGACAATCAACCATAATCTATTGATTTATATTCTAGAAGTGCACTTTTCATGTGTTTTTCGTGTAGAAATGTCTGTATATTCTACATTTTAGCACAGAAATAAACAGATAATATAAAGTTTTGTTACCTTCTAATGATTTAATATAATCAATGAAACGCAGTTGCTCAGAAAAGCCATATTCTCCCCTATATTTTAGGGTTTTTCGCGTAACCTGAAAGTGGGAGGCAAAACTCCGCCTCTTGTGGCAGAAATTCTGCCACAATTTCGCCACAAGACTCGCTCAAGAGCGAAAAGAGTCAATGGAGAATATGAAAATTCAAGGGTCCGCGAGTGTCATCTTGCTTCCCTTCGTCTGCATTTCGACGCTGTATTCAAATTCATTTGTCCGATTTAAGACTCTTGTGCCGTTTTGCGGCAAATGAATACATTATCTCTCGCTCTCTCTCTTCCTCCGCTTCTTTGCATGTCTGAAGTTGAGATGACGAGAATGAGGAACGAGCGAAGAACATCTGCAAGATAGCGCGCCATTGTCACTCCGATGAATCCAGCACAGTTTCACGATCGCCTGATCAATGCTCTCTCTCTTTGCAGCTAGGGATCAAATGACGAGACGCTGGGCTTTCTATTGACCTGCAGAAGCCCTACAAAATGGCAAATATCGATCTTCTGCGGCAGCGAAGAAGCAACAATCCGGAAACACCAACAGTTGCCACCATTTGGAAGATCTCAGGTTACAAAAAGCATGTGAAAAACCACGCTTTTTTCGCATTTTCACCAGAAGAAAAGCCTTTGATTTTGTGGGAATGCCAGAGAAAATTTCTCCCAAGATCTCAAATAATTCTTGACCTTATAAATAACAGAGTCCAAAACAAGTTTTACTATTGAAACTCGCCGCGTTTTTCGTGAGAACAGCAGAATATATAGTAATTCATGGAAATGACATTTTTACCTTGAGTCATTCTTAATTTTGAGGAAATATAAATTCTGTGATTACAATAGCAATTTTGCATTTATCGCAGCATCTCAATTTTGAGCACTGCACAAAGTTCTTTGGCATTTCGCCTTGGCGTTTTTTTGTGTGCAAGCAAACCAACTCACCATTGTGTTGATTGGCGGCCGAAGAATTCTCACGGAAAAACAAGGTCTTGCATCCAAATACACTCTTCAAAAACACATTACATTACACCTCAAACAATCAATCAATCGTTTATCTAGTCTTTGACACTGTTCACCAATTATTTCACCATTAAAACAGCACAAAAGTGTCCAAGCCGCGACCGACGCGTTGTTTATGCAACAAGTGTTTATGTTTTTTAACGAGTCACAGCTTCTTTTGGCCTGACTGACAGCATTCCCACAGCTTTCCCCCCACCCTGGACGCGGGAAACATAGAATTTCGCCGTTGGAAGACTTCCAGGAGCTGTCCAGACATTTTATTTCTTGCACAGAATAAAATACAAAATATATATGCAAAATGTCCCAAAAACACTCATTTCCCACTGCTCTGGGAGGATTCTGGCTGCTCCTCTGGGATTTCCTCTTCCTGGCTGACTGTCGGCGTTGTCACCACGTAAGTGTCGTTCGGCTGGCTCTCCTCGAGCGTCCTCTCCGGCGTTTTGGAGACACTTTCCTGGCCGGAATTCACGAAAGTCTCCGATTCATACATCTGACTACCTTCCTGACTGCTTCCCTCGCGCATGTGCTTCCGCACGAGCTGCACCAGCACCGGCAAGTCCTCCTCTTCGCTCAGATCCTCAAAGGCGTCCAACAAATCGCTCCTGGACTTGAGGGAGTCCTCGAGATCCGTCTCGGCTTTCAGCACGGACTCCGTGTAGGTCAGCGACAGGTTGTCCAGCAGCTCGAAGATCAGATGGAAGGTGAGCCTGGCCGCGGGATTCCTGTACAGTTTCCTCAGTCTCTGGTAGTTCTTTGGCGTGGGCGCCTCGGCGTCTGCCCCGATTTTCTGCTCATTCTCTATCGTATTGATCACTTCTGACCGAATCTGCGCCTTCCACTGCTGCGTCAGTCCCTGGGCTTCCAGCAGCTTGTACACAGCGTCGAAAATCTCACGGTCGATTTCCATTTTGGCGTGCGGAAAGCGTGAGAACACAGCAAGAATTGTGCCGGCGAAAAGTGTAAACAAAACTTCGGCCCAAAACACCGAAACTCTCCGATTGACCTCACAAATTCGATGAATTTCCAGGAATTCGCTGCAAATTCGTCGCACCGCCGATAGCGCCATCTGTTAGTACAGTGTCTTCAGCCGCGCAGAATGACCCGATTTTGGGTGGGAGATTTCTCATGCCAATCAATTATCTCACGTGAGCCGAAATTTCAATGAGAAAAACTTTGGCACCGTTCCTTTGTCAAGAAAAAATTTTGCACTTGGCAGTTATTCTCAGAATATTAACAAAAAGGATCTGTATTTGTATATTTTTCATGCCTTTTCCAGACATTTTTCGCGATGTTTAATTCATGTTTAATGCAACATGTTTAAGTTTCACGATTTGACAGTCGAGTAAGAAATCGAGAACATTCAGTTCCAGTGCATTTTTCAGTGAAGTAACACTCGTGTTCACCCCCATTTTCATCTTCTCTGGCACTCTAGCGTGTGTGATATCCGGTGAGGCAGCGCAGAACACCCCAAAGGAGCGGAGAATCGGTGTGAGGGCAGCAAGAGTCGCGGAAGTCTCTGGCCATCGTGCTGAGAAACGTGTGAACACCTCGGGAATCTAACCTAGTGACGGCGCCATGGCCAAGTGGGGCGAAGGAGACCCGCGGTGGATCGTGGAGGAGCGCCCGGACGCCACGAATGTGAACAACTGGCACTGGACAGAGAAGAACGCCACGCCGTGGTCCAAGGAGAAACTGCGGGCGCTACTGCTGGACTTTGTGGTGGACGAGGGCGGCGCGCTGGTGTCCGTGACGGAGGTGGAGAAGCTGGAGGGCGAATCGTCGGCCAACAACCGCAAGGGCAAGCTCATCTTCTTCTACGAGTGGAACATCGTGGTCAAGTGGCAGGGCGTGCTGCCCGGCGAGGACACGCCAGGCACCGGAAAGCTCACCATTCCCAACCTGTCGGAGGAGAACGATCTCGCGGACATCGACGTGCAGGTGACCGTGGACGAGAGCAACGAGGTGTCCGAGCGCCTCAAGGAGTTCCTGTACAATGTGGGCAGAGACAAGGTGCGGGAGCTCCTGGGCGTGTACGTGCGTGAGCTGCGTGAGGAGTTCTCCAAGGGCATGATCCTGCCGAAGAAGGACGGCAGCGCGCCGCCCGCCAAGCCCGACGGCGTGTCCAACATCAAGAGTGGCTTCAACAAGAAGATCACCATCGATCCGGTCGTCAGTTCGCAGCACTCCAAGGCTTCGGGAGGGCACAAAATCGACGTGGTCACCATCACAGCGTCCGAGCGGTTCCAGTGCCAGGCGAACGCCCTGTACGATGCTCTCACGCGCGTGGAAATGGTCACGGCATTCACCAGAGCACACGTGAAGATGGACCCAGTCAAAGGCGGAGAGTGAGTAAATCTTCCCGCTTTCATCCCACTTTCCAGAGTCCCAAGAGAATCACATTGTGATGAATGTTCGTTGATTGAATTTCTCATGAAAATTTCAAGAACGGCCATCTGAGTTTTCCCCCATTTTCCCATAGCAATTTTGTAGGTTAAGGAAATTACCAGAACATTCGCCGTCTCTTAACATAAGAGACAGCGAAAAGTGATTCTCAAGAGTATTCCTAAGGAGAAGCGGGGCAATTTCGAACAGTGATTTGTAGATTTTGACCTTTTTCTTTAGTTCTAGCCACTCTAGCACAAAATGATGAGGGAATTATATCTTTAATAGTCAATTGAAAAGTAGGGGAAGAGGGACTAATATGATTTTTACATTTCATTGTTTCAAAGCTTTTTCCATTGTCTTTAAGAAGAGCAATCTTGGATCTCTGAAGATTATCTGAAGTAAAAGCATCACATATTTTCAATAATAATTATATCAAAATGCCAAATTCACTGTTCTGAATAGCCCAACATTTCCCTATTCCACAATAAATCATCGCATTTTTATCATTTATCACTTTGTATTACAGACGAAGTGACACGTTAGATATTAATCTGTCTTGTGTTTGTCTTGTTGCAGCTTTGCTTACTTTGGCGGCAACGTGAGCGGCAAATTCCAAGAATTGGTGCCCAGTGAGCTCATCAGGCAGACGTGGCGACTGAAGCAGTGGCCGGAGGGACACTTTTCCACGGTGCTGATGAAGATCGAGGAGATGGATGACCACACAGTGCTGACGCTGACGCAAACCGGCGTCCCAGCGGCCGAGGAGGAAGTGACGCGGAACAACTGGAAGCGCTACTATTGGGATAGTATTAAGCAGACGTTCGGATTTGGGAGCTTTTTAGGGTAGATCAATCAAGGATATAATTTAAATGAAATTTCGCTAACTCACGACCGGAGGAATCTTTTGATTTTTGGATGCTTGCTTAGCGTGGCGCAATTGTGAATCATCTCAATCTGTCTTGGGAAAGCGTGAAGGAAGAGTAAATAGATTAATTTAACGAGGATAACTCTTTATTGTGCACTTCTTACAGTGTGTCTCAGGCGGAGTTCTGCTGCTGCCTGTCGCACATGATGAGGCCCCAGTAGGCGCGGCGGTACTCCGAGGACATGACGGCGTAGATGATGGGGTTGATGCAGGTGGTCATGTAGATGAGCAGGTAGCCGCTGATGTTGAAACCATGGATCTCCGTGGCGCCCTTGAAGATCTTCGTGATGGTGATGGGCAGGTAGCAGATGAGGAAGGCGCTGAAGATCACGAGGATCATCTTCAGCAGCCTCTTGTCTCGCACCGTCATGCGGCCGCGATACAGAATGCTCGCGTTGGACGTGTTGTTGTTCTCAAGATGGCTCTGCGCGGCGTGATTTTGCACACGCTCTTCCTTCACGCTGCACGCGTCCGAATCTTCGTCCGCCTGCGGCGCCACTTGGCCGTTCTCCGCGGCCTCCTGGCCGGAGCCAATGCTGGTGCTGTCCATGAATCTAATCTCGGGATTGTCGAATTTCACGAAGGGCTCCGCGCCATTTTGCGGCAGCGGCTCCGGATGGGCGGGTTTTCGGCGTGAGTTTCTCCTGCGCGATCCACGCGAGCGCACGGAGTCCTTCCGCGCGTCCGCGCCTCCGTGCGACTGCACAGCCGCCTTGCGCACGATGAAGAATATCCGGGCGTAGCACATCACGATGAAGATGCAGGGCAGCGCGAAGGCCACGCTGAAGAGGAACTCCTTGGGCGAGTTGCCATTGGCATCGCGTAGAATGGTGCAGCTACCGATGCTGACATCCAGCCCGAAGCGCCCCCACGCGCCCATCCACGTGGGGATGAGGGCGCAGAAGGAGAGCGTCCACGTGCCGGCGATCATGAGCGCGAGGAACTTGCGCCGATAGATGCGCGGGTAGATGCGCGGGTGCACGATCATAACGTAGCGATTGATGGTGATGGCTAGGATGGTGAAGAGCGACACGGCCAGCAGGCCGTAGCGCGCCAAGGGGAAGAGCTCGCACAGGATGTCGCCGTGCGTCCAGTCGCGCTGCCAGAAAGTGCTGGCGGCCAGCGGAAGATTGAAGCAGCAGAAGAGGAGATCGGAACACGAGAGGTTTATCACAAAGAGAGCTGTTGCGTTGCGCACCTACAAGAATGGAATCATGTTTCACTGGTATTATTCAAATTATTTGAGAATTCTTGAATTCTTGATATCGTAGACGCAAACCTTGACTAAATTTTTACCATGATTTTTCTTTACTTTATAAATGAGTAAATTTAAGATAAAGCAATTTGAATTTAGCAAGGAATTTTTTTGAAAATCATATTCAGATTATTATAAATCAACTCTCATGATTCAGTTGAATTACACGAAATCCACTTAACTGTCTGTCAATATCAGTGAATCAAATGCAGAATTCCTTATCAGAAGTCTTGCTCAGAATCAACACGTTTGTTCAATTATTTCCCGTGCTTTAGCTAGTTGGAAAATTGATTGAGTCATTCAGTAACTCATGTTTAATGTTGACTTTCTTGTGTGAAAATATACACAAGAGTCCTTCTCTGCCAATTGCTCTGGCTCAATGCAATCAAATACAGTCAAGTGATCCGAGGTTAGAGCACAAGAGAGTGCATCGACAATAACCACATGCTTCTCAAGCGCGACTGCAGAAGCGTTTTCCGCCTATGTTTGTAAACAAACACGCAATCGCACATCCAAATTAGCCTTTCAAGTGACATTCTTCTGGCGAATTTTATGCTCCTAAATCCCAAAAGCAAGAGAATTCAGTGCCCAGAAATATTTCATGACCTCAGACATTTTCCCCCCATAAAACCTAATTGATTTGGCACAGAGAGTGAATTACTTTTGCATATTCACTTGATACAATGGAAATCACTTTCTCACTGCCTGCAGGACGCCTTTTCCAATTCACCAATCATTGTGTTTATATATTCTCGTATTTTATTTTCCCATTTCACACTCTGCGGTGCGCCTGTTTATGTTCCAACGCTCAGAATAGTTGTAAAATTCTCATGTGATGAATTTCCCACTCTTTTGCACGGTGGAAAATTCACTAATCACACCCCATTCTACCTTTTTGCATCGTGCCAGCGCAATGATGGTTATTAAGTTGCCAGGAATGCCGATCAGCGCAAAGATCATGCACATCACGGAGGCGAATTTCAGCAGCGAGTCCGCGTAGTTTTCGAACAGGCCGCCCGAACTGATTGCTGAAAAGACAAGGAGGATTTCTTGAAAGGTGTGAATAAATGTGAGACGATTATTAAAAACTCAAGACGAGAAGGTATAAATAAAACGTATTCAAAACGCGCTCAAACCCTTACATGGATGTTTCAAAACTATTGCACATATTTCATAAGTGGGATTCAGTCGAGTGTACAAAACCGTAGGTGAGTTAACAACATTTGATTAGTCATAAATCGCTCAAACTCCTCATAAATTCTACTCCAATTCAATTGAGCGAGTCCATGTGATTTTGTGCATTTTTAACTATTTTTATTGCATGTGGCGCCATCTGCGACCCTTTTCAAAAGCTTGAAATTTAGAAATTCTCGAAATACTCAAATAAAGGCAGATTTAACACCCTCTTTCCTACGCCACTGCGTGAGAGTGTGCGATCGATCAGTTGAAAGTCTTTCCTCACTTGTATCATTGTCGATGGTGCGGCTGATGATGATGGGATAGGCTGTGATGGGCGGCGGTCCCAGAAGTAATTCCATGGTTTCATCTAGTCCTCAGTCATCCCAGCGAGTCATCTGAGTCCGGGCGTCATTTTGGGATTTTCGCAGAATTGAGCAATTAATTCGCAGCCGGCTTGTTTAGTTAATTGGGCGCGATATTGTATCGCGGAAAGGCGAAAGTGGGAGGGTGGATGGTATTAAGAGGAGAAAAAAGGAATAAAAGACGCCAGCTAATGAGAAGTGCGATGAAAATAGAATCCAATCCTCAATATTTATGTAAATATTTACATCAACGTGTTCCAATACACTTTTCACACTAGTTAAACCGTTGAAGAGTTTTCCACGGCTCTAATTTGATCTTGTCTCGACCCAGAGGCGAGAGTTCTCCGGATTGCGCTACACTTTATCCCATTTGTAGAAACACAGCCACTTTTTTCGTGCTTATTTGATTGCCGCCAAAGAAATTCCTATACATCCAATTCAGTCTGTCACATAATCTTATCGCCGTCAGTCGTGTTCAATCTATACACGCGTGATAAGGGAATTTTTAAAGAAACACTCTTGTGTAACACCTTCACTCCCTGAAATGCGCACTTAACCGCTCTTCGCGGATGGCACACACAAGAAATGCAGCGCGAAAGGAAATCCTCACTTCCACTGTGGAAAGTCTCTCGTGAGCAACTGACTAGAGGAAACTCCGCAATCACACAGAGAATTTCCCAGACGCGACCGAAGGCGGGAACACGATCGCGAGCATTGATTCGATTTTCCGTCCATAAACAAACGAAGAGAGTCATAAATTCATGAGTATTCAGTTGAATTTTGATAACGATTTCAACTCCATTTCACACTCTTCTCGCTTGCACAGCGATTGACATTCTGTGGCTCGTCATTGCATGGACAAGTGAATGAAATCTCGTCTTTTATCACTCCTTCTCTTGACTTCTTACGCTTTCTTACACATGTTTTTCTCCGGTCAAGCGAATTCGGCGATGTGACGCCTTCTTTCACTCCAATGTGCCGCTGATAACAGACGACAGAACACATGTTTACAACGTCTTCGTTATTTCTTCATCTGTCTCATGCGCTCGATGCATGATTATCTAGAAAATTCACAACTCAGCAGTTCTTTGAGTTCAAACTCGCCGAATTTGTACGAAATTTGAATTGAGCTGCGTTTCATCTGCCGCACAGCGCCTCTGCGCTTCAATAGGCGAACTTCTCACCCTAACCTCTCAGTTTATTTATCATGGCACGACTTGTGAAGACTGCGTTTGAGATCTTGCCGAAATCTCAACGGATTCCCCGGCATTTCTCCACTTCAGTGCATCCAGTGAATCTCTCGTATGATGAGTATCTGCCCAAGGATCCCAAAACCGCCACCGGAGCTCCGCTCCTGATCATGCACGGCCTCTTTGGCTCGCGACAGAATTGGCGAGGAATCAGCAAACGACTCACGCAAGTGCTGAATCCCAGTCGCCAGATCTTCTCAGTGGACGCCCGGAACCACGGTCAGAGTCCTCACTCCCCTGACCACTCGTACAGCCACTTGGCGGAGGATGTCAGGGCGCTGATCAGGAGCATTCCGGGGGCGCAGAGAGTGGCGCTGATGGGCCACAGCATGGGAGGACGCTGCATGATGTGCTTCGCCCTGAGATACGTGAGTGACCCAGGCGAATGCTCGCCTCACAGGCTGACGATCCCTTAACTCTACAGCCAGAACTGGTGGAGTCGGCGGTGATTGTGGACATTTCTCCGTTCTCCAGCGTCCACTTTGCCGGCAGTTTGGACGCCATGAAGGACTTGCTGAAGACGCTGCAGCGCATCTCCCTGGACGCCAGTCTCGCTCCGTCCGTGGCCAGGAAGCAGGTGGACGAGCAGATCAGTGACATCATGCCGGACAAGGCGACGAGGGATTTTATCCTGCTCAACTTGTACAAAGACGAATCTGGGTGAGTTGAAAGGCGAAAAGACTATTTAGACAGATCATAAATTAGCTACATTCTATCTTCTGGTCCTTGTTTGATAGATTTCAGTGGCGGTTCAACATTCAGGGACTGCTGGATAACGTGGAAACGTCCATAGCTCAGTTTCCCGCTGAAATGCTCGAGGGAAAATTCGCGGGACCGACGCTTTTCATCGGCGGCGCCGATTCTCAGTACATCAATCCCAAAGATCTGCCCAGGATTCAACAGAGCTTTCCGCAAGCCCGACTGGAGTTTGTTGCGAATGCCGGACATTTGGTGCACGTGCAGAAGCCCAATGAGTTTCTGGACTTGGTGACAAACTTCCTCAACACCTGAATCCAGAGGCCGTTTCGAAAAAAACACTGTTTAGTATAAATTGTAAAGAGAGACAGAGAGATTTGTGGAAAAATGTAGTGCGAGAAGAGGGAATTGAGTTGGCTTTTATTGTGTGGCATGCCAATGTGATTGGGTTTTGTGTGGATGAATTTAATTTATTGGGATTCTTCAAATTGAATAAAGATATCGGAGCGCAGAGGGGAAATGGAAAGGGGCAAAAAATCAATAAAATTGTCTCTCAGCGATGAAATATGTATAATAATAATGCTGAATGCCGTGTAGTTAATTCAACAAAAAGAAACCTGCTGCCCGCGGAGAATAACTTACGTGAAATTATTCCCATATAGAGAAACGTGTCAGTTATTCAATGTGCATCTGGGATGGCGAGAGCGAGCGAGATGGCGGACAGTCCGCGAGGAGGAGTACAATTATGCCGGTGAGCGCATCGTCGATGAGGGGAGCTCTCGCGAGAGGAAGGAGTGCTGCTCTTGGTGTGGAAATTGTGGATTCGGACGTCAAATAAATAAAGTAATAATAATGATCAATGATGATGTCAAATCAGGTAAACGCGCCGCCACGCCCAGCGGGAGATGGAAGGTGTGAAGCCCTGCTGCGCCGAAGTTAATAAGCCCGAAAATATAACCTTTGATTATCAACCGACACCATTCACTCGCTCTCACTCCGCGCGTCCCGCTTCTTATCCTCCTTTTGCACCACACACCAAAATGTCCAGAGGATAAATGGAGAATTTCAAAATTCAATTCTCCATCCCTTTTCGCATGCCCACGAATCCTCAGGGACGCCCGACGCTCCGTGTGGATCTTCATTTGCAAAACATGAGGACGCAATCAAGCTCTCTACGCGTCCAGCATGTCCACAGTGATTGAGCAGTTCATATATCATGATGCACACACATTTGCAAAAGCTAATTTTTCTTGGCTTTGATCACAACGCGAACACGGCGTCTGGGAGGAAATCTATTAAAAAATCACTCTCTCTACCCATAATTCGACGAAAATTGGCGAGATGCTCAAAGTGGCTGATATGCGCGATGTGTTTTATTGGTGTCCCCTACGGTGGCAGTAAAATGCATAAACGACGGATTTTTATGTCTTCTTCTACTTAACTATCAATAATTCTGCGAAATATACACTCAATTATGCTGTGTCCAAAGGTTATTAGAGATCTTCTAGCGCGAGAGCTTATTTATTGCACAAAAATTACTATTTAATCATAGAATACAGAAAGTGAGCAATAATGACAATTTTTCTCATTTTCATAGCATATATTTATGATGATCAAACGCTGTTTTTCGGTGCCGAAAATGCCACAATTTTCGTGATTTTATTTTAATTTTAAAGAATTTCAGAGTGTAGTTCGAATCCCTAATACGAGTGGGCAAATGTTAACCCGCTTGAATAATTTTCTTCTCCTCCTGTTTAGCGCCATTAAGACTTCAAAATGATAAAGTTCTCGTGTGTTTTTGGTTTAAAAGAAATTCTGGAAATATTCCGGATGCCTTTCTTATGCTAAATAAAAGTATTTTGTCCAAGACATTGAATTTCCTTTCGCTGGCAGAACGTTTTCACAATTCAAATTCTAACCGCCATGCATTTGGGGTGAAAAAATAAGCATTAATTAAACGTGTGCCAAGAATGCATTTTCCTTTTATATTGTCATGCAAATCATTTTATTATTTTTGTGTAAAATCATATTTGAACAAACCATAAACAATCTAATCAATATTTCGCTGCTGCTAGAGTTAGAAATATGCCAATATTGGTTTATTTTTGGCAGCGCATCTAATCTAAAATTCAGAAAACTGACGGTCAGATGGTTCGCGAATGGTGCGAATGTGAATAAATTATGCAAAGTTGGCTCGAGTCCATTGTGTGTGCTGCAACGTCTAACACCATCAGGTATATCTTCCACTTTTATTAATTGATTTTGTGCCTCAAGGCAAAGTGATCCTTGCCAGTAATGCTACGAGCTTCTTCTCCTCCTCGCGACTTCATCGAGTGCTGAGCTCTGTTTCGCGCATTTCACCACGCAGAACCGCACTCAGGGGAGGTGATTAGTGGACTCTAGGGGGTGCACTTGATGCACGGGGTAATTGGGCAGCGAGTTGAGGATGCATGGTGGATGAATCGGTGGCGGATTGGAGTGAAAGCGGCGTCTCCTGTGGCGACTCTGGCCGGAGATGTATATATTAGTCATTCAATTATGATGTTGGACATAACACATTTGCACATCCAGAAGACTGATTCCCTACTCATCCCAATCCGCCAGGTATGTACATAAATTGCTCCACTCTTAGCATGTGTACAGTGGGATTTTCGCGCTGTTTTGCACCGCACTGGAGCTGTATTGTCTCGTTGACTCCCGCCCCAATCCAATAAGCAAACGCGGCGCGAATATGGGCGCGTTAGCATACGATCGCTGAGGAGGGAAGAGCTGTTGGGGTCTGCATGCGCAACACATGCGGAGGGAGCTTTGGTAGCCACTCTGCATGCACATATCCATGAGCGAGAGAGGAGGCGAAGGAGTGATTTGGCCGCGGTGAGGAGGCGCGAGAGACGCTGGAGAAGGACAAGATTGAAAAAGAGGCACCAACACCCAACCTCTCACACTCCGCGGAGTTAATTTTATAATCTCTCAATTCCTCACCGCGCCACACTAATTTAATTTTCTTATTGTATTTCGGCCATTACGGTCAGTAAGAATTATGTTTAGCGCTCTATTATTAAATGTAATAAATCACTCGTGATCAGATAGTATTATTTTTTAACGTAAAATTGACTGTAAGTGTAGATGTTCTCTCTCCAATCCACCTTCTTTTTCATCTCGGATTGCTGGAATTCATGGGCATTTCTTGGAGTGTGCGGCGAGAAGAGATTACAGCATTTATTAATAATTACAAGACACTTTTATTCTTTTCTTTCCCCCCTCCGTTTTTAATCTCTTCTTCATCGCACATTCTCAAATTATTTATTCTTTTATCATGTTTTGCCGAGGTTTGTTGCTGTTTTTTGTATTTTTTTTGTTGTCTCTCCACTTTAAACATAACACTTGCTAATTGTTATATTCACATCACTTAAGTGGATTGTAATTTAAGTTTTTCCTACCCTCATGCGCACTCTATATATTTGTTATTGTTGTGCAATATTCACAAGAACACATTTTTAGCTTCATTACCTCTTTGCGAGGCTAATTTGTTCTCCGCGGCGCACAAAAGAGATATAATTTTATCTAGAATGTAAAAAAGACTGCATTATTCAAATAACATTAACTTGCTCTCGATAATTATTTATTACGCGATTCTACCCTGTAATTTATCGATGACTTTAAATATCCATTCCTCACGCAATTTGTTTATTCTCGCCATATAATATGATACGCTTTTGCTAAGTGATATATATCAGAATATTGCCATTTTGTCATTCTCTCGTGGTCTTGTTAACCAAACAAGACATTTAAATAATTTTCCCCGCTCAAATTGATATTATTTATGCTCTTTTAATGGACATACATTAACCACATTTTTCCTATTTCTCATTATTATTACTGTATGCGATGAGTTTTCGTGACGCTCTTCATTCAACCACGAGATAATGTGTAATTTTGTTGACAAGTTATGCTTTTTGCCAACATTACACAAAATGTTCTTTAATATGATGTTTTCGCAGGGTGAATTTTCCAAGAAAATCAAGCCAACCTTAAATGAGATCAAGAGTCTTCGAATTTGAGCACCTGACAAATTACCTTCTTCATCACACTCAACATTGAGCGGTCATTAGAATCGAGACCATAAACACTTTTGTGTTATAATATCACTCCATTTTCTCTATGGCTGCACATCATTATCCTGAAGTCAAACAATGTGAATCTAGAAATTCAACATTGTGAGCAATCATCTTGTAATTGCATGGGATTTCTGAGCATAATCGTTTATTAATAAGTGTTATTATTCCGGAAACTTCTCTCTATGAACTCACCATTAATCTCGATTGTGATCTAATTAAACTGCACAGCAATTCATGTGTGGTTGGTGTATAAATTGAATTGAAAACCTGCAATATTGCCTCGTGAAAATTCCCTTCAATAATGACTCCTGATCAACACCTTTTGGCACTTTTGGCGTCTTTCACATGGCGAAGATGAGCGACTAAAACATCCCATAATGACTGCACAATGCAAATCTGATGGTGAAAAGTGATAATTTGATGCCTGGTTGTGTCATTTCGCTTTCCGCCACAAATTGATTCACCCTGTGCTTTTCAATCACCATATTTCGTGCCGAACGCCGCACTGAGGACTCCGCCTTTTGTATTCACAAGAGGCGTCACAGAATTCCGCAGCTAAAGTGGCACATCCTCTAATTGGGGTCATTCTTTTGAAAACCTTCGGCCTGAGAAAGAGTTGAGAGGCACCCGTAAATCGACTTTTAGGCAAGGTATTATTAGCATCGGTGGAAAGGTACTTTGTAGCGAATTGATTATCTGGCAAAGCAGGATGGTTTTGTTGGAGGCTGATTTTTGGGATTTGTTTTAGGCTTTGCTTCAGGATTCAGATTTATCATTTTTCGCTCTTAGAAATATGGCATATTTAATGCAATAGGAAGGTCTAATTTTCACAGTAAAATTGTAAATTTATAGACAAAATTATGAGCAAAAAGTTAGCAATCAAGGATCGAAAGCTAAGCCAAAATCACATTATTTTGTCACTTTTAACTGAATTTTTGATTTTAAATAATATATTTAATATGATCCCGTACAACATGCGGAAATCTGCATTCGTGATATTTCTTGAGCATTTCATTTGCTCTCTTATTGCAATTGCTGCATTTGCTCCTTGTCACTTGTCATCACCTTCCAGTCGCTTGAGAAAATATCAGCCGTCCTTCAGAGTCTCTTCTCAGGAATTTGGCTTCAATCATAACACCAATATTGCTTCCTTCACGGCCAGCAAATGAGTTTGGTTGAGCAGAACAGCACCTCTTTTGCTCTCGCATTGTTTCTGCCATGAAATGTGTGCTTCGTGTTGGTAATGTCCATGTGTGATCTTTAAACCCTTTGGCAGCAATTATTTTCACACCAAACGATGTTAATTGCAATCCTCGCCACGCAGAAAATGCATGATGAATCTCTGCAGCCAATTTGCCCTCGTGGTGCTTTTCCGTCCCGCAGAAATCATGTTTGCTGGCTTTTTAT